TGTTTCCCTCAGCACCCCCCCCCCCTCCCTCCAGACGAAATAGATATAAATAATAAGTTTACTACAAAATTTATACTCCCCCCCCCCCCCCCAACACACCGGAAATTATTATAAATGTAAAAAAAATACAATCATTACTTGTACTTTTAATATAATGGTCACACCCCTGTCCCTTTCCGCGAATAGGTATGCATGTGATTTCAACTACCCGGAGCAACATGTCTGAAAGAAGCCCTACTTTCTAATGCACAACCACTATTGAAGCAAGGACTATTATAATCTCGACGACAAGTTTGGTGCGCAGTGTCACCCAGTTGAAGTTTATTTAAACCTACTCTCCCGGGTGACTTAAAAACTATTACTTTCATTTTATCAAACAAAACAATTCTAATGGATACCCACTTGCATTGTATTCATTGGAAATGACAGTGACAATACTTAAACCTTTTGGGTTTAAGATTGGGTTGAACTTTAACCGTTAAAGTTTGGTGCCGAAAAATGCGAATATCTGGTATCTCTGTATAGAGACAGGCCGATCAACGGTCAAACTATCCTGTGAAACTAAACCCGAGTCCATGATTAATTTTTTTTTCAAGTAGCCAGTTAACTGTTTAGTTTGGCCACCGAATACTTTGGGGACAAAAAAACTGGGTCAAGAATTCCGCACCGTGGCCCATTTGCTGGCTATGATGAATCTAGGTCAGTTGCACGTGTTTGTGTTGTGTTTGGTGTAGGCGACGTGCATGGTGTAGCGTTGGTGCGATGGTTTGGTTTGGTGTAACCTTTTCGCTTGTTTGTCTTGGAAACGGAGGCGACTGTTGAACGAGGTGCCCCATCAAATAACAAGAGTGGAAGTTTAATGAATAGACCTACTCGAGGCTTAAAGACATCTGAATTAAAACTATGGTGGATCTCTAGGTTATTTTTACAAGCTTTTATTTAGATCACAATGTCCGTTTGTTTGTTTGTGGGTTTGTGAAAAATCATGTAATTTAATTTTAAACCGCATCTAATGCAAACTTTCCAGGTACCTTCTTCTTCGAGGACAATGCATGTATATAATATTTTTTTAAAATCTAACTAGATATACGATTCTTTATTAAATTTTTATTTTAATAATTCTAAAATTTAGTAACAAATCTCAATATAAGTGCCACTACGCTTCACGACCTCTGGCACTAGCCCTCTAGCACTGACCAGTACTGACCATTGCACTCAACCAAGCCTTGTTAACCAGAACTCAATTTTTTTTAAACCGAGCTGTGACTTAACCCTTATCATAATCCTACCCTGGCGGCAAAAACTCGACTCGATACAACTTAACTGTGATACTGATCCTGCTCGCTTTTTCCCATTGAGTAGTCGCATAGCCGCAAAGCACGGACCAATATATTGAATATCATAATACACTCCCCTTTCCCCTTTTTATCAACCCATTTGAATTTTTACCGCCCTTGAACCTGCTGATGCCTCACCCCACCAGTCGACTCAAGCAGACGATGAGAGCCCACATGTCACTGTGACTTCCTGAGCCGTTTCTGGGCGTCTGCTAGAAAAAAAGCCTGTTGTCACAAAGACACGCGCACTCAGGGCAGACGGCATTAGTCATATCCCGAGGCAGACGCCGAGGCTGATAAACCAGATTAAAAATAGATTGCTGAACAGAACTGAGACAATAAAAATTATGACTTGTTAAAGGAAGTACTACAGGGAGGGTGGCTGAGAACTGTGATGTAGACTATTGTAGAAGTAAAAGAATTATCATCATAATGGTGTGTGGGGGGGGGGGGGGTCTTTATTATGTTATTCATAAGAAACTTTGTTCTTTTAAACCGATTTTCCCCCAACCAGAGTTTCTTCCAGGCATCTCGAAGAAAGTCTACCCCCCCCCCCCCCCCACCGAACGAAATAAAATTTATATAGAAAATATACTTTTACCAGCGTCCGCTCCCCCCTTCCCAGAAAATATCAAGTGCCTTACCCCCCCCCCCCCCCCTCGTAGAAAATAGTCTGCAAGAAACAAACACTGCCCCAACCCCCATTATCATATGGTGTCTCAAATAAGTCAGTTACTCTATGATTACGTCAGAAATTTCTACTCACCCCCCCCCCCCCCCACAACAATTATAATTCGAACAAATTCGAACATATTTTACAAATGTTACGCCACCCCCTATCCCTCTACTCGCACCAGTAGTGCTGCGTCATGTTTAGACGACCCCCTTAAAGTGGCTAACCGCCTAGGTATTTCCGACAGACATTCCTTAACCTACCCTACTAGACTTGATCCAGTGCTTCAGACGGTACGCGGCCTCAATACTAGTCATACAAGCTGAACAAAGACAAACGGGGATAAACTTTTTAAAAATCTGCATGCAAAGAAGCAGATAGATCTAGATAAGATAAAATTCATTAATTAATCCTGATTTAAATCTTGCAAAGCCTTAACTATACGGTTATCATACTTGTACAGGCACCCCTTCCCCCCCTTTCCCCACCTCTAAAGTTTTAAGCAAGCCGGTGGTGAAATGATAAGCCGATAGCAGTATGTAGGTCACACAACGGTATTTCTGTTGGTTCTGTGCGTATGCATCTATATTTAGCGAGTGACGTACGAAAAACGCGTGTGCCGTACGCTACATTCTCCCAAACCCAGTCACTGTTGTGATGAATCAGTGACGTAGAATGTCGCCCCGCCTACTGAATTACGTAAACAACCAATTTTTAAAAATGAAACAGACTCGTGAATGTCCAAACGAGGCAAAAAAAAAATCCACTCTCTTGGATGTTTTTCTGTCTACAAGCTGATCTTTTTGTTTACAATTTAACCTACTAGTAAAGTTAAGTAAAGGTTCATGACATTTAAATGTAGTCGGTGTAGGCCTACGAGTGGGCTTGTTTTTTGTTATCTTTTTGTGTGCAACAGGCTGCTAATAAAGAGATCAGAACTTCTTTTTTTTAAAAATCACAGTGACATGCTATTGCAATAATTAGTTTTGAAATGAAAATAAAATATACTTAAAAGTTAAAGTTAAAGACTGCACGTGTGTTCTCTAAAAATAATAATATTACGTTTAGTACAGATGAGAAGGCTTTTGTTTCACAATAGGCCAGCAAATCTATTCTATGCTGGCACTTTGTTGATGTCTAGGATTATAGTTTTAGGTTTATTAGGACCACATAAAGCCTAACACTTTAATCATCAATATGAGAAGAATTCTGACATGCATCACAATCACTGGCAAACAAAAACCCCATCGAAACAATACTGTAATGCCTGACTAAACATACAAGAATAGGGTTAATTAGCACTTAATTAGCACCCCAATCATCCAATCAGGGCTGATATAGCTAAAAGTAAAGACTATATGTTTCAAGTTGAGTGTTAAGTTCCACATTGCAAAGGACGATAATGTACGACTTTAAAAATTAAAGTTCCCAAATTAAAAATAAATAAATTTAGAGATAGCTATATCCACCTTAAATGTGAGGATATAGCTAAAGGGTAGATCTACCATACATGCAAGGACATGGCAAATCGGTAGTTTTACTTCAAATGTTAGAATATGGCTAATAGAGAGATTTACCTTAAATGTAAGGATATCGATTATTGGTAGATTTACCTTAAATATAAGGCTATGGCTTATAGTTATATCGATCATAAATGTAAGGATATGGCTAATAGGCAGGCCTACCTTAAATGTGTTGGTACGGCTAATCGAAAGCTGGCCATCAACTGGTAGGTAGGTTACTTCTAGAACTCAGACAAGGCTGTATTTCAAGCTGGTATCGCGACTCAAACCCTCGTCAACGCATCCTAAACCTATATTCTGAATATATCCTGAATTTTCCTGGCAAAGGCGTAACGAGGGTGGTACATACGTCCCCGGGCGCCGACCTTAGGGGTCTCATTTTAGCTGCAGTTTTGCATTATAAATATAAAAAATGTATGGAGGGGGGTGCAAATTGAAAGGTTGTCCCCGGGAAGGGTCGCTACGCCTCTGATTCCTGGCCACGGCTCGAACCTTAACCCTTAGCCTAACCCATACAGTAAAGATAAGAAAAACACCGGTTAAAGTATCATTTTTCTATTTTTTTTAAATTTAATTTTTTTTCTCCCTGAAAGGTCGTACCACCCCCCTCCCCCCTTCCTCAATCGAGAGATGCTTGAAAGAAACTCAGCTGTGACTGAATGACATGGCATACCCCTGAGGTCTATATCTCTGTTTCAATGGTTCTCGCAGACGACAGAGTTCTCTACATGTCGTGGCGTGTGCAGTGCCAGCACTTCAAGATGTTTGAAGTGACTCCAGTTAGTTGGACGTCTATAGGTCTACCAACTTTAACGACTACAAGTCTTTAGCAGTTTCTTTCAGGCGTCTCTTCTATTTGACACCCCCCCCCCTCCACTGTTCCCTCTAAGGAGAAAAAGGTAGTGTGTTACTTGTATATTGTGTGCGCAGTGTTCTAAAGGTCTTATTCAAGGATATATGTATTTAGCAATACCCCCCCCCCCCCTTTTCCCCGCGAACGAAATAGAAAAATTATATAATTTATATTTACACACTCTAACCAATGTGCCCCCATCACCCTCAAAAGATTCAAGCCCCCCCCCCCCCAGGAGATAAATGTCTGAAAGAAACACTAGACACCCTTGGGTCTACCAGATCAGCTACTGTACTTTAGGTAACTGCCATAGCTAAAGGGAAGTAAGCCTAGTAATTTTTAATCTGATTTATTAGCTGCGCTGAAATAAAGCTATCATCTGTAAAAACTGAACACCATAGTACTGTAGTTGTAAAATAAATTATGAAATAATTTAAAAAAACCAGATGAGACTTGTTGAACACCTAACTAAAATCTTAATAAGGTTATTCAGTCTACACACACTTGACTCATCAGACATATATATTGTAATTAGAAAGGAAGAAATAAATATTTTATTTGCTCAAACATACTCCTGAATTAATTTGTTACTATTTTCAAAAAAAGTGCATTGTAAACAAAACGAAAATGAGTCGATCTGGAGCAGAAATTCATCGAAGTGAAAACCAGTCAAAAGTAGTAAATGATCGTATTACACACATTGAGGAACACCTTGGTCAACTATGCGATATTGCTTCATCATACACACGTAAAACTGCAAGACTTCGAGACAAAGGTGATTTAATGGCTAAAGAGTTAATGCAGTTCTCTGAGTTTGAAAAATGGAATCCCACCCTGAGCATTGGCATGTCCAAATTTGCAGAAAGTCTATCAGCTGTGCAAGACTATCGAGAAGCAGAAGTGAAAAGGCTAGAAGGGAAGATAATCACACCACTAATGAATTATGGTTTGCTTTGTAAACAAACAAAGAATGATATAAAATCATCATTTGCTGCCATTGATTTAGAAATCAGCCAAAAGAAAAAGCTTGACATGACCAGGAGTAAACACCCATCAGACAGACAAAAGATAACCGCTAATATTAACTAGGATTCAAATTCACTGTGTTATTTGACATAGAAGGTCAGTGGTATGTTAAGAAGGGGGTAGTTGGGAGTTCATGTGTGTGAAGAGAGACACGATAGGTTTAGAGGTGAATATGGTGACAATAAAATTAAATATGTAATGTAAAGTAAGTAAAGTTCCCCTTTCAAACTTAACGGTCTATAGGGCAAGTGAAGTAGAGTTCATTTGTTTCTGTGACCTCAGCATATGAAGAGATAGCGTAGTCAGTACTATGCCCAACCGCCTTTACTTTCCCTAACGTGAGTTAGGTACCCATTAGAGCTGGGTGGACTCAGGGACGGTCTACTGACTTGAACCCAGATTGGAACTTGAGACTTACAGGTTAGCAGTCCAGCTCTCTACGGCTAGACCACTCCGTCCCACTAAATATGTAATGTAGCTAATATAATAATTCGCTATGTTCGTATAAAATTTGATATAATTAAGCAATTGAGTTAGATCAAAGGGTCTTCAATGGTACCTTTTAACCAAGGGTTTTTTAAATTATGAAATTTTAATTAATTTTGTCATTCCACATTATCTTATGCTTGGGAACTGACCTAGACAACTGAAAATTAAACTTGAAAAATGGTATTTAATGTGACATGCATATGATGAAACACCAAAATATACAAAAAGACACAACCCAGTGTTCTCAGGGACAATTTAGCCAACTGACTCGCAATATTTTAAAATGTTTATTTACAATAACTACAATTCATTTTCATCAAAGGAGAAAACGGTCTTTCAGGTTCAATTTTTCAGTAAAAAGTTGTCATCATTCAAAGGTCTGTAGGCTGATGAATACTGAGCAGGGCATGATTGGAATTATTCAGAACATATCATTCTCATAGTTAATCATTTGCCTTGTGTCTTTGTGGTTGGTACCTTTTTGTGAACTACTGGCAGCTTTACAAGAAAAAAAAACAGAAAACAAAAAGGAATGAAATTCTAGAAACAAAATTTTGAAACAAAGATCAAGTAAGATTATTTATAATTTTTTCTAATACAAAAAAGCTGAGATAAACAAATACAATTTATATAAAAATATAATTAAAGTCTAAAATGAAAATCTACTACACATACCAATGCTACCCCAGGATGACTGCGAGGAACCTTCAACCAGAGCCTCTATTGAAGGCTGTCTTCTAGCCATTTGGACTCTCAGTTGTATGTTGTTTATCATACTGCCAGCAGTCTAAAACATGGTGGATTCATATAGCAGTCTAAAACATGGTGGACTCATATAGCAGTCTAAAACATGGTGGATTTATATAGCAGTCTAAAAAATTGTGGATTCAAATAGCAGTCTAAAACCTGGTGGATTCATATATATCTTACTACCAGAAGTCTAAAACATGGTATTTTCATATATAACCATACTTATTGTAGTCTAAAAACATATTGTGTTAATAATCATGCTACTAGTCTGAAACATGACCATACAAAAATACGTGAAAAAATTTCATTAGTTATTTTCAAGACAAAGATTTTCAAAATTTAGTGAAAAATAAACAAAAATCAAAGATTTACTTAATTACAATATAGCAAAATTAAAATTTTATTTTAACAGATAAATGACCTGAATATGATCATACTTTACTTACATTGGCAATCGCTTGTTCTGCTGCCTCCATTTTATCAAAAGTCACAAAAGCATTGCTTGAGAGGAGAAAATAAAATACAACATAAATTATCCTCTAAAAGTGTTATTAAAACTTTTACAAGATAACTGAAATAATAATATTAAAATATTAACGACGTAAAAAAACATTTGTGGGGGGAGGGGGGGGGGATATTAATTTAGTTCTATATTTACAACAATTTCAGTTTGATAAAAAGAAAAATATTTACTGTTTCTCTAGCTCCATGTTGATGTTGATTATATTTCCATAGTGTGAAAAAGATTTTCTGATCATATCCTCTGTGATGCCGATGCCATTAACGTAGACAGTGTTTCCCTTCTTTGGTGCCTCTGGCGGATCTCGTTTTGGGTTATCGTGGTTTCCTAGGCAACACAGACAACAGTTTAAAAATAAAGCTACACAACTCAGCATTTTGCGGCTGAGTTTTTGCTTTTATATTGAGTGGTGGAATTTAGGGGAGGGGGTGGTGGTTCATTATTAATATCTGGGTAGAATAGAGGGAGTTTTTTTCATAATGAGTAATTATTTTATTATGAACACAAGATATTTATTTTTCAAAAAAATTGATTTATAAGCATACCAGTATTACATCGGTAGGCAAATTTACAGGCATTTGACTTTGAGAATGGACGATAATATTGGATTACATGCAATCCATTTATGTCATCTATACATAGTGGGAGTGTTGTGAGGTCTAACACCAGTCATTTTTGTAACGAGGAAAGAGGGTTTGAGTCCATGTTGTGGAATCTCCACAGATGAAACTTATCATTTTACACACATAAAGGGTAAGAGTAATAAGGGAGATAACTCACTACCAGAGTATCCTCCAGACACAAAACTGTCATTGAGGCTCTTGAACCTTTTGGGTGGCTGCATAGTCGTAGAAAATTTTTTTTATTACAAGGCTCAATAGTGTATTTAAATAAAATAAACTTTTTTTTACAATAAGTTTGTGTTGTGAATTTAAGTTTAAAACAATAATATGAATTATCATGTATCTTGTATATGAGAGAAAGTAGGTAATTAAATATATTGTATAAATGGCTCATTTGTGTATAATTCAATAAGCTATGATATCAAATGTCCAAAAATATAAGATATACCTGTGGCTTGTCAACTTCTTCATCTGCGCTAAATGAATTGAAAGGCTGGAAAGTGACAAGACCTGTGGGCTTATCATTATCCTGTAGAGGTGAGGAAAAAACAAGGATTTTATTCCACAAAAAATTCAAAATAGAAATTAAAAAACAACAACTGAAAATGGTTAAATATTGTTAAATAAGAGCAGACAAATCATAGTAAAGCAGCAGTCATCAGCATGTCACCTCAGTGGGGGTTAATGTGATTTACAATGAATCCAAATTTGAGAAGTGTATTTTTACAATCACAACAAGAGCTATCAATGTATTTTCAGGCCCCTACTCACTTTTTTTTTCTCAAAATTCTTTGAACGTTTAAATCCAAACTTTTCTTTTTGACTTTGGACTTTGATAGCCTGAAAAAAGAAAGTAAAGAAAAAAAGATTTAGTTATGATGGTACATTGGATATGAGAATTAAATTTTTTAAATACAACTTTTATGTAGAGAATGAGATATTTGTTATGATCAGCAACAGGGACTTGTCTAAATATTGGTGGTAGTCCACAATGCTTTAAATAACAGAACAAAAAATAAACATTCTATGTTAACAACAGGCCTGTGTGTATCCCAGGATAGGTACCTAACATTTTATGGAAGATCAGGATAGACTAGACTTTGTTTTGTAATTAATGATGTAAAAATGTGAATAGTAAAATTTTAACAGCAGTTTCTAAGAAAAAGTTAGCAAGGTCAAATTTTAGCTTGCTTAGAAGAAACACAAAATTTCTTTATTCTTACCATAGCAAAATAAAATGTAATGATAAACAGTTATTTACATTGTAATTATAAATAAGGATTGTTCATTTGTGAGATAATATAGATTTATGTGTTTAGATAACTATGTGCATATCTAGTTCCTCAAAATAGATGTACAAGATAAAAGTTTTTTCATCTTTTTTAACTGTAACATTGGAGTGAATATCCAACATAGTCATTAGGCGTCAACATATTATCAGCCATATTCAGATATTCCCAGTTAACTGTGACTGCAGCCTGCGTTTCTGGATGTACTTCCAAAGTGTTTGTCCTGCCTAAAACAATCTGCAAGGCAGCTAAAATCAGTTTTCTCTCCCAGATGGGTAGCTCTCCTTTAGTTGACATTGCTGTTCCCCAGCTAACATCAAAGTTTTTTCTCCTAGAAAGGTAGCTGTTGCTAAGAAAACATGTTGGACATTGATGGATAATAAACCAATCCCATTGCAAGAACTAAACCAGTTAATACATAAAAATATAAACAAGAGAATAGCACTAACCCCTGATTGGACCAATTTTTTGGCTTGCTCTGTTGCTTTATCAGCTGCATCAATGGATGGTGCGGGTACTAAAAATGTAAAATAAATAGTACAGACATAGTTATAATTATTATAGCAACTATCTGTATGGTAATAACACACATATTTAATGTTTAAATATAACAGAACAAAAATTTCTTATATGGGCAGAAATAGCTCAAGTACTGGTCTTAAACCATGTATTTATTGGGATAAAAAAGTATTTATATTCAACTCAGATCACAGAAAAAATTGAGTATAGCACTATAAATGAATAGAGGTTCAGCATGGTTGCCATTTAATAACACTTTTTTAAAGCTACAATTTTTCAAAAATAAATGAACTTATCAAAATAAAGGTAAACAAACAGATTTTAATATTTTTAAACATCAAATTAGTTTAAAATTCTTGTGACACCCTATCTAACATGAAACATTTCAGTTGAAAGTGTAAGCATTACCAGGTTTGCTAGCAGATTTGTTCAGGGTAGTTTCTTTCTCTTGAGAATTTGCAGCAGATTTCAAGGATTGCAGTTGTTTTTTCTGTTAAAAGTTGTGGCAAAATGTGTAAAACTAACAGTCATTAGTTAAGTTAAAAGTAAACCAGTAATTAAGATAATATCATCAATTTTTATTAATTATTACAGCAGAGAAAATACAAACAGAAAAAGAAATATATTTTTTATCTGGCAAAAGTATTACGAGTATTAGTAAAGCTTTTAGCAGAAGTCTACCTTGGTAATATGCAAAAACTTTGAATAAGTTTAGTCTACAGCTTTTCCACACAATAGGGGGAAAAGTAAAACAAAGTAAAAGATACATTCTTTAACCTAAAAGTCAATAGTGAAAATATAAATATAAAAATAGTGTTTTCTGTTTTTGACTTAATTTTTTAAAATGGGTTTGTTGAATTCAGTTGAAAGTCGTGTTGTGGATTAAAAAATGCAATATTTAAATTGTCTAGTCCATTATCTTAACTAACTTATAAATGTTTGTTGATTCAGATCAAATAATTTGGAACAGATTAAGAGCAGTCAAATTATTAAAAAGAACTAAGCTAGAATATGAATGTTAAAGACTTAACTCACAAGTAATGCTAGTAATTTGTTTAACAAAGCAGTAGTAACTTGTACAACATAAGAGGCATAACAATATAAGAATAATCTATTCAATAAATTGTTTTGTTAAATGTATGAGGTAATATTAACTAATTAAGAAGATGGTGAAGTAAATTGTTGCTGAGCTTTCAGCAAATTTTATTTTTGTTTATTCTTTTTTCGCATATTGTCTTTTATTTCATTTAAAATTAAAACATATCTCCCCTACTTGGTATTTAATTTCTGTATTTGGAGAAATTAGTCTTATGTATGATTAAACAAAATAATTTGTTTTTATTAATGTTAAGTTAGGTAGGGCCTACTTGAGTTCAAAATTTTAGATCACAAGTACTGACATGACCAAACAGTTTGTCTTTAATATAAACTGCCATCACTAAGTTACATTTCTAACAAAACAGGAACTTTTACTATTTTATTTTGTACATATTTAATTCTCAGTAACTTCAATTAAAAATAATTACAAATATGTATCTATGTTGATTTCAAATGATGAGGTAAATAAAGTTTATAAAGTTTAAGAGATGTTTTACCAAATATGATTAAATAAATTACAGTTAATGAGAAAATCTTTTTTTTTTTAAATATATAGTTCAGTAAAAAAACTAATTACTAGAAATATAGATGGAACAAACTGAACAAAGCTAATTATTAATTAAGCTTACGTATACATGAAATAACCTTTTTCTTAAGCCTTGCAAGTGTTTGTTTAAGGATTTCTTCTTCCTCAGTCAATGCAATTGGAAAATGCATGATATTGATTTATTGCACCTGTAAGATGTAATAGAATATCTGATTATTAGGGCAAAACAGTGATATATTATTTATAGCATTATTTATTAAATTGATATAATATTTAGAATATTTTATTTAGAACTCCTATAAACATTAACTGAGCCTCAGTGTTTTCAAAAGGCGAATGAAAAAACAGAGACAGTAGAGTCCTCAATATGTACTAGTGAATATACCATACTTTTCAGTGAGCAATAGTTACAACATTTTTTAATTTTCAGCTACCCTGGAGCACTTAGCAAATACAAAGCTGTGGAAAAATGTCTGTGTTAATCAGCCATCGATGGATTGAATTTTATTATTGCAATTATTAATGAAAGTGCATAAAAAAAGAATTCAAAAGATGTGCATGTGAGCTAATGAGTATTCATTAGCAATGTGAGCCAAAGGGAACCTGAAATTTCTAATTCATCAATAAAACCATAAAAATAAACAGGATAAATGCTAGTTACATATTCCCTCACGACGTAACCATTTGGTTCATGTTTCAATTTCATTGTTTGATATTATTCCATTCAGTAATACAACTATGGAATTAAGAAACTTTGTAGATTCAATATGCTAATAATAAATAAACAAATTATGGTAAATTTTTTAAGAGTCATATTGTTGACTGGACTGCTATTTATTTAATTAAATTTAGTACTAATGTTTCTAGCCTGATTTTTTATCAAATGATTACACTCACATTTTAATAATAATTAGCCAATACGCCTACATTTAAGCTTAAGGAATGAAAAAATATATCACAAAATATGTTAACGAAACACAAAAAGTATTAGATATAAATGATCCCTATATAGGACTTAAACCCACTCAAGTGTCGGGTGATATTTTGAGTCAACCCTTTGTAAATGTAAGCTGTAAGTTGTCAAAGTACAAGTAATTAACCGACATTTAACAATATTTACTAGATTACCATATGTGGGTAAAATGATGTAAAATGCGAAATGATGATTTTATAACAGGTAAAACTCCATTTTAGCGTATTTTATTCCCCGCTTCACGTTCACCTCCAGTTGAGCGTATTTTATTATAACCACAACCGAAACACAAAAACGTTAGGAAAACACTAAATCTACTTATTTTTTTATGAATGTGATTTTTAAATTAGAAAAGGTAAAAAAAAAACATAAAAAAGCATTAGAACTGTTCCAATTAAATATTGTGTGATCATCAGCGGGAGAAAAATCCTTACACGGTCACGGGTTCACTATGAGTTCACATTGACTTTAATTATTATTGTCATAGCTCGGGCAATAGCTGTTTGAAATTGTGTTGGCCTCAGTTTTGGGGTCATTGTAAGTTCATTAATGTTTATTTATAGTATCATGCCTGGGAGATACTTGTAACAATACAAACTTAACCGCCTTGCAATTGTGAGTTTTGTTTACGTACTTCACCCATTACCATGAAAATTCTAACTGACAGACAAACATTGCACATTCAATATTCTAAATTTGGATTTTTCTCAAGTTTTGACAAAAGTAAATTATCAAAATCTAAAACAAAGTCAGTCTCTTTGTTTTTTTATTCATTTTTATTCATTTGTTAAAACAAAAATCCAATACAAATAAATAAATCATGTTTTCCTAATGTTTTGGTGTTTGCCGTTCGGTTGTTATAATAAAATAAGCTCAACTGGAGGTAAACAAGAAGCGGACAATAAAATACGCTAAAATGGAGTTTTACCTTAATTATAATAACATTACCTGCGGAATAACAGTTTACGTAATAGCGAAACACAATAATGGCGAGATAGTTTATTTTGGTTAAGGACTGGTCGACACAACACTTTGTGTGCATGGTATGTGGACCGCCGGGTGGTTGAGGCCAGACCAGGGTTTGTTCTGCCAGGGATACAAAGTTTAGTAATATAGTAAAAAATAAAATTAAGTTACACTCACTTTGTCACAGTAACAAAATGAAAATTGAAAAACAATTTCAATTTTATTTATTCGCCTCTCTTTGCTGTGGGCTTTGGTCAATTTTCAATTTGAGGAGACAATTAAATTTGAGATGGGAATTTGTAAATTTATAACTTCAGTTTGATCAAATCTAGACTCTATAATCTAGTTTAATGGGTTAATATTCCTAATAAATTGTGTAGTAAATCTAATTCTATAAACTAGACAATAATAGGCATAGGCCTAGCATAACTAGATCTACATCAACAAACATTGATGCTAAAAAAATTAGCAGATTACAATTACATGGACATCAATAAGCTTTAATGTGGTTGTAGACCTAGCAGTTTAAAAAATAGTCTCTAAATAACGAGTAATTCATTAGTCCCCCCCCTGATGCTTGTCTTTTTTACTCTGGTCAAACGTCTATTTGGCCTTTTACTAAAATATTAATTATACCTATATGAAACTGATGGGGTTCGTTACCTCCTAAAAGGTTAAGAACCACTGCTTTAGTATAGTATAGTTTGTAAAAGGTGTAAGTTTGGTCCACCTTTGGTCGTGTCTTTAGAACAATTTGTGTACTAGTATATCAGTTTTAAATTATCAGTTAGGTTGAAAACAGAGTTTCTTCCAGGCATCTCTTCAGCAGAGTTTCTTCCAGGCATCTCTTCAGCAGAGTTTCTTCCAGACATCTCTTCGGGGGGGCGAAGCCCCCCCCCCCCCCCCCCGAAATTTTTTTACCGCCCCCCCCCCCCCCCGAACGAAATGAAATTTATATAATTTATATAGAAAATATATACTTTTAACAGTGTCCGCCCCCCCCCCGAGGAAAGTTTACCGCCCCCCCCCCCCGAAAATTTCAAGTGCCCCCCCCCCCCCCGGAGAAAAAAGTCTGGAAGAAACACTGGTTGAAAAAAGTAACAAAGCAGCAGCAATCGTCGTATTGTACCAGTTTACCTTAGTTAACTATTTGAAAATTGCAGTATTAGACTTTATGTTTGTATTATAAACTTGTGTTAATGAGTTTATGGTTCCCTGCCCCCCCCCCTAGCTACGCCTCTGCTTAGACTGTTAGGATATGATATGGTGGCAGTACCGGCACCAGGTTATTTATCGCCCTAGGCAAAACTTATTAAAACGCCCCCTTCACACAAATTAATTACTAAAACAGATTTATAAGAAAACAATTAATTAAACGTGACATATTTATTTATTATCAATCGCATACATGATATAAATAGGCATCAAAATCAATTTTTACTTGTATTCCAGTTTGCAAGCGTAATCACATTATATTGAAATTATCCACGAATCTACTTTGGACTTTACGACATAGCCCCCCACCCCTAGAAAATTTTAAGTGCTTCCCTCCTACCCCCCCCCCCCCCCCCTGGAAAAAAACACTGACAAAAAGTTCTTGTAGTGTTGGGCAGTCTAGACAAAAATGTCTGTACTTTAGTGTTGAAGACTGCAGTCCTCCCAAGGTCAGTTCCGAAATGGAACTTGCCTGTTTTAAGCTTGACTGTTTTTAGTTATAATTGTAAAATGTCTATATTGTGTGATTATATAACGATTTAAAAAAAAATAAAAGGTTATAAAGGTTATAGATTCCAACCTTTAGGAGAGAGTGAAAATGTGAAAATTTAATTAATTAGATGTTTAATTTACGACTAAGACTGTATGTCTACTAACATTAAGTATTGCAGTCTACAACCAGAGGCGTAGCGACCAATTCCGGCGCCCGGGGCGGAATATACATTTTTGCGCCCCTCCCTCCCATTCTATTTATAGTTATTCCTGTCTTTGAAAAAGCGCCCCCCCCCCCCCAAAGTAAATAAATTGGAAAGGTTTGTGTCGGGCAAATGAGGCTCGTTAGCTGGGGACAGCCACTCTTCTAGGAGAGACAACTCCAAAATTAAAACAACTGCTGCCTTGTAGTTTGTTATTGGTTGGACAAAGGCTATGGAAGCAAATCCAAAAAGAAAAGCAGGCTGAAATCGGAGTCAATGGCCTCAATGGCGCATAACCAGTTGACACGTATCCTTAATTGTGATGGAGGCGTGGTCGAGTCGGCTAAAGCTAATGGTTGATAAATTCGAACAAAGTCTCGAGTTCAAACCCTCTTGCAGATATGGCTCGATCCCCGCCAACACTAAAAATTAAGAACGAAGAAGAAGAAGAAGAAGAAGAAAGGTTTGTGGAACTTCTTACCAGTTACTATCCCATTAGATTTTCTATTTCGGTGCCACAAAATTGATATAGAAACACAGTTACACGAATGTGAAACTCCTTGAAGTCGTTTATTTTCTTACCTTTACTATATATAATTTAGTACTACAGCTTAAAATGAGTTTTTCAATTAATTTTTCTACCCCTTTTGGCGCCCCCATAGGGTCGGCGCCAGGGCGACCGCCCCACCCGCCCTCCCCTAGTTACGCCCCTGTCTACAACGGCTACTGATGTATTTGTTTTTTAACTTAATAATGCTGAAAAAACCTACCAAACTATTTTGTTTAGAACTTAACCCTTTATTTACGGAATTATGTTCTGAATGAGATTTTTACTTAAACAATGTGTTACTATATTGCTTTTGGCACATTCAAAGCATATGTCGAAGGAAATTTCGTTTCATAAATTTTTAATGGCCCAAACAGATATTGGTACTTATAAGTACCGTCAGTAATCTAGGACATTTTTTTTCAAAATTTTTTTTTTTACAAAACAGGAACAAACGATACAATTTATTAACTAATAACATGGCAATCATCAAAACAATCACATTTTGTAATTTTCACACATAAATACGGCACAAAAGTATATTTTGAGTACGATTTTTACTGGATTTTCTATGGGAACACATCTTAGACCTCATACACAGCAAAAGTAGTCGACATGTCATGCTCCCTCAATCTTGTCTGTGGTCATTCTGGTGTAGCAACGGTTGCCGGAATGAATATGCTTTTGCTGGAAGCTTCCAATAACTAGTACAATGAGCCGCATAAACAAACAAAAGCCTAGTCATTCAGCACACATCTACTAGTAATACTAGTATAATTGTAGCCTACTAGAATGATATGACAAGTCTACACTACAGTGCAAAGTTCATAAATAGAAGTAAGTTCAATGTGTTAAGGATAGCCGTAGTGGATTACTCTTTTCTGTTTACTGATTAAAATTTACCTTATAGATCTATACTATATGCAGAAGTATGGACTATTACTAGTCTACAGGTATACATTACGTAAATGCTAGTTATTATTGGCAAGACAGTTTATTGCAGTAAATATAACTAAAAAATTAAATCTAACTACTAGAACTAGGCTTTGGTATAAAAATGCAGTAAACTAAACCTTGTAAACGAGCCTGCAACTGATACCTTTATTCTTGTTATTTTTTACTAATAGAAATTAACATGTAATTACAATATTTCTTAGGTAAACCTTATGCAAACCTTCTTATAAATGTGTAAATATCATTTTTTGAGTACATTTCGATAATTTAATATCAAGACAATATTTATGTAACTCCACCTAACATATCTGCAATTTTCTAAAAATCCTAAAAAATGACCGTGTGCCCTGACGGTACTTATAAGTCCACTTGTAAACATCGATCTAATACAAAGACAATTTGATTAAAATTGTATAACTAGAAGTTAAACGCGTTTGCCTGACTATTGAAGGTGCCAATAAAAAATATTTGGGGTTGAAAACTTGAAAAACAAGCTAAAACAAAGGGAATTCAGGAACTTGTTTCAGAACTGTACAGAACAATTGTGAACTACCGATATAGCAAGACATTGGAAATGGCGCCACACCATTAATTTAAAAAAAACATTGATACCTGCTACTACCGGCGACTCAGAAGAGATAATACTATTAATTACCTCAATAATTTTTAAAATTCGTATTAAATTAAAAATAATACAGGCACTTAATTAAAGTGGTACTTATAAGTACCGTCAGTAGATAAAGGGTTAAGATCTCTATAATGTTTACAATAGCAAATAATAACTTAAAGGTGTATTTATATGTAAGCGGTCAACTCAAAGTGCAGTATCTTCCAATTCCAATCATCTCTTCGCCCCCCCCCCCCCGAACGAAATGGAATTTATATAGAAAATATATACTTTTAACTGTGTCCGCCCCCCCCCCCACGGAAATTTTAGTCCCGTTCCCCCCGAAAATTTCAAGTGTCCCTTCCCCCCCCCCCCCCCCCCCCGGAGAAAAAAGTCTGGAAGAAACACTGCTAAGGTGCAGGAGTTTGAAATGAATGTAAAGTTAAGCAACGAATTATCTCAAATAACAAAATTTTATTCAAGGGAAATAACTTTAACTTGAATAGCTAAACAAACCAAGTGTAGCTAAGACATGTTTGAAAAACACAATAAAACGCTCTAAAGTTCATTACGTAATATTGTATCAAATCTTTTATATTTGCTATGTAACCTTGTGAAAACAATATATTTTACCAATTGAATACTTAAATGTAGATTTTGTTTGAAAGTCTAAAAACGGTAGCTTTATTATAACAACTTCTATTCAATATTGATGACATTTAATTGCTTTAGTGTAGCAGTAAATACATATGAATTTGATAAAATTTTGGATCCCTTTAATAAAGGGACGTCTTTCAAAAATTCAAACACGAGTAACTATTTAAAACATCGCTGGAATAATTGATTAAATTTTTTTTTAAATTATAATTTGAAAAAAAAAACAAAGTTTACGGTTAGTTATAAATTCCATCCTATTTAATATTATATATTATTACCTTAAGAGTGGTAATATAGATTCCTAAAAACTAAACATTTTTTCGACTAGAGAACGCCCACCTTTCTTTGTAGTGTGTTCCGTACTGAATTGAAATCATCTAACTTACGAGAAACTCGACTACTCGATATACTCTACTACATTCACAACACATATCAAACTTCAATACCTAAATATAAGTAGACTAGATGCTCCAGAATTACGACACCAACTGTCTTATCTTCACCAAGCTCTACAAACGGTACTCCCAATCAACAACGATTTCACTAGACCCACTACTACACTTTAACAGTCAATATAATTCAATACCATTATACCACAAGAATTCATTCTCCCTTTCCAGAACTACGATATCT